GAGGTCGTCTACCTCGGCCGCGAAGGACTGTTCAGCTGTAGGTGCTGGTGGTGGATCTCGTGCTGCGGATGCTTGAGATTGAGGAACCGTAGTGATGTATTCAAACGAGCCTTGACCGCTGGATGCGCCTGAGACCAAAATACCTGCTCGTTGGGTTCCTCCGACAAGTCCTGAGGTCCAGGGATCTGCTCCGTAACTCCAGGGGTCGTCCTCGACGTAGTAGCCCTTGCCGCTTCGGCGCCCCTTCTTGCCACCTCGGGAAAAGGAGCGACCCTTCTTGCCCTTGCTCTTACTGCTGGACTTGCCTTTGCTGTCGCCGCTGCGGCCCTGGCTCCAAGGACAGTCCGTCGTGTCACGATTGGGGCTTCCACAACGGCCACAGCCTGTGCGGTTGGAACGTCCTCCGCCACTGCTTTTGCCTTTCTTACCTTTGCTCTGTGACTTGCCTTTGCCGCGACCACGAGATTTGCCCTTGCTGCGGTTCTTGCCGAAGTGCACGTCCGGGGGGAGAGTTTCGAGGTCGAGTGTCGACGCTGCAGGCTGAGATGAGGAAGGTGGCTGAGCTGTGCTGCCAGCGATAGTGGAGTCGTCCTGCAGATCCTCATCCCAGTTGTCGTCATACCAGGAATCGTCTTGCCAGCTGTCGTCGTACCACGTGTCTCCATGCCATGTGCCTTCGTTCCAGGGGTCTTCGTACCAAGAATCATCTTGCCAGCCGTCGTCGTACCAACCGTCATCATACCATGAGTCTTCATAACGATCATTGGCGTCTGCGTGGTAGCCACCGATGCCTGGAATCTGTGCGGGTGTCTGACTCTTAGCGAGACGCATGAGGTGATCCTTGATATCGTCGTGCCTGTCGAGGTCGCCGTTCACGAGCAATAGTATGTGATCTAACTTTGACTTCTCTATGCCGCTGTGTTTGAGGAGCTGGTGGCTGAGGGCGACGTTGTTGAGGTTGAGGTTGCCCAGACGGGTGGCTTCTTCGTAGGTGTGTTCGAACTCCGCCATGTATTCGAAAAGAGAAAGCCTGCCACGCCTGAGATCGTAGAACTGGTCGATGGTGTTCGTGGCCATCTGCTGGTTGTCGGCGCCAGATCTTCTGGAGAGGATCCGAATGAGAAGCTGGACGCCGCTCTCGGTAGCTGCTCGAGCAACCTGGCCGGCACCGTCAAGCTGCTGTGGTTCTCCGGCGTAGGCGAGAGCGGCATCGCCTTGAAGAATCTGCCCGGCCTGTGTCGTGACCTGTAGACCGAGCGCCATATTATAAGGTCGTCCCTGCAGCCTGCCCGCGACAGCGGGCCCAACCTGATCTGCATTCAGGTCCGTCATGCGATACCACAGTCGTAATCGTTCCAAATAGCGTCTAAAAGGGTAATGCATGAGAGCCGGCCTCCATCCGGGTGGAGTGCCCTTCGTGTACGCGTCCAGTGGGAGGCCGGTGTGCTCCGCCATATACTGAGCTTGTGCTCGTAGAACTCGGGGTCGTCGTAGAGCTCGGCGAGGTACTCGCCGTCGGCGACGAAGTCGCCGGTCGTGAGATTGCTCTCGTGATACTTGTCGTAATCGTTGCCGTTGCCGCCAGTCTGGCGGGCGCGCCACCTCGCTATCGCGCGCGCGCGGCCTCTCGCTGGAGAGGCGGATAGCGAGTGGAGCCTGGATCACCAGGCTCCGCTACCAAACTCGACTTTTCAAGCTTGAGCCCCAGCGCCCGCGGTCCCTGCACTTCTTGAGTTCTCCATTCTGCTCTCTGAAACATGCTAGATTCCCCAGCAATCATTCTGAAACTAACACCTCCTCCTCCCCTCCTCCTCCTCCTCCTCCTCCTCCTCCTCCTCCTCCTCCTCCTCCTCCTCCTCCTCCTCCTCCTCCTCCTCCTCTCCTCTCCTCCTCCTCCTCCTCCTCCTCCTCCTCCTCCTCCTCCTCCTCCCTCCTCCCTCCTCCCTCCTCCCTCCTCCCTCCTCCCTCCTCCCTCCTCCCTCCTCCCTCCTCCCTCTCCCTCCTCCCTCCTCCCTCCTCCTCCCTCCTCCCTCCTCCTCCTCCCTCCTCCCCTCCTCCTCCTCCCTCCTCCCTCCTCCCTCCTCCCTCCTCCTCCTCCCCTCCCTCTCCTCCCCTCCTCCCTCCTCCCCCTCCCTCCTCCTCCCTCCTCCCTCCTCCTCCTCTCCTCCCTCCTCCTCCTCCCTCCCTCCTCCTCCTCCTCCTCCTCCTCCTCCACCACCACCCACCACCTCCGCCTCCTCTCCTCCTCCTCCTCCCTCCTCCCTCCTCCTCCGCCTCCTCCTCCTCCTCCTCTCCTCCTCCTCCTCCTCCTCCTCCTCCTCCTCCTCCTCCTCCTCCTCCTCCTCCTCCTCCTCTCCTCCTCCTCCTCCTCCCTCCTCTCCTCCTCCTCCTCCTCCTCTCCTCCTACTCCTCCTCCTCCTCCTCCTCCTCCTCCTCCTCCTCCTCCTCCTCCTCCTCCTCCTCCTCCTCCTCCTCCTCCTCCTCCTCCTCCTCCTCCTCCTCCTCTGGGGGGCCAACAACCCCAACCACAGGTAGCACGTGCGTATGGGAGTGGACGGCAACTAAGCTCAAGCTTGTTAGAATGAAGCCAGGTGCTCGGTGAGGGCTTGCACACTGCCCATGGGGCCATGTTCCTGACCCTCAGAGCTATAGTATGGGTTGGGATTGAGCCCGATCGCTGGGAGGACCCTGACGGCTGCGAGTGGCAAACCAATCCCGACGTCGCTGGAGATGTGACCGAGTTGTGCGATGCGCTGGTGGAGTCAGTTCAGAACCAAGTCTGGGAGCAAGCGTCGAGGCACTCTGAGGGGGATGTTTCAAAGCTGAAAGTGACGCAACTATGCTCCGTAAAACCCTGGTAGGATGATGAAGACCGATACGCACCAGGAGACAGGGGTCCTGGAGGGGTGCGCCTGTGGCACGTTGTGGAGCAGTGATCGCCGTCGTGGGGCGGGCTATTGCACGGAGGGCATGCGATCGGTGCGATCAACAGGCGGCGGACACAGTGCGTCACCGTGCTTACGATCACCCGTGGATCCAGAGAACCAGTGTTATACGTGCGAGCATGCTCTGACCGACCTGGGTAGTGAAGTCAAGAAGTCCATGGGGCTTGAGGGGGTGGCCCAAAAACCCTGGAGCCAGGTACCCCCCCATCCCGCCTGGGCTGACGTACGAGGTTGGCAAACTCGGGCCACCGACGCCCCATGCCCCGAGACCGGACCTGCTGGAGAGATAAGCCAGCCCTGGCAACGCTCGAGTGCTCGGGCTGCGTTTTAGACAGGTCAAATACCGATTCGGGCCCTGGGACCGTGAGTCGGGTGGAGGGGCTACCCCCAGCGGGGCTCGGCTCCTCACTTCCTGTCCGAGGCCTCCTCTAACCTCCCTCCCCTCCCATGGTGGTAAGGGGGCGTCGATTGTAAACAGAGTGTCCCTGTATCAGAGCTTGCTGCGCTTTGGTGGTGCCTCCGCTTGACGGGAGGGTACCTTGATCAGTCTACGGACTACCAGTTTGTTGTTAGCGGGTGCTCTCCTAAGACCGTCTGGGGCCAAGAAAGGTTGGTGGGAGAGGATTCCCCAGGCTATCCAGGAGCGCCCAGGACCCATCCGTTTCCAGAAGTGCTGTTATCACCTAGATGTTGTGCCTCAACGGCGGCTTGGCCAAAGCGTTCAGACTTACCCGGGGTACCGAGATAGCCGATGCCTGTGCCCAGTTTGGAGCTCAGGAGGCGGGGGCGCGCATCGCCTCAGAGGTCAAGCCTTCAGAGAGAGGCAGTGCGATCGCCACCCTGGTGCACCAGCTGTTCGCTGCCGTCGGTGCGCTGCTGGCCGCGGAGACGATCGACCAGGACCGCCCCGCGCGCGGGGGAGCCCGAAGGGCGAGGGGGAAGCGTGGAAGCGCGCGGCGTCCCGCGCGCAGAGCTCAGCCCCAAAGATGGTGTGTGTCTTCTGGTGCGGCTGGTCTGGTCGGGTTTGCCGCCGGGGCCATGGGAGTGCCTCACTGATCGGCTGGCTGGAAAATGCCCCGCTGCAGAAGGTGGCGAGACCCTCCGTTACAGGAAAGATGCTGGAACCCCCGTCCGCGTGCCACGAGCGCGTTTCTTCATTTTCGGCGACGGCGGGCGTCATTGGGGGGGGAGCGGGGGGGTTAGACGTAACGACCCCCCCCCCGCCGTCCATGCAGTGTGCGAGACCAAGACTGTTGAGAAGCCCGCGCGCCCCTGCCGCACCGTGGCCGCGCGGGACGGACCCGCTCTTGGCGCTGGAGGTGCGCAGAGTAAAGGGGGGCGGTTCGAGGCGAGGGGGGAGGCTGCCATTTGAGAACGTTCTGTGCCCATTCCGCTCTTCTGTCAGGGAGATTAAGGACTCGTGTTGGCCTCACGGGGCCATCGTGAAAACGACGACGGCCCCAGTCCGAAACTTGACGCGAGCTCCCGCTGCAAACCCCCCCATGAAAAAAACCAAACCGTCAAACTCCAGGACGGGCCCGTCAGAGAACGCTGGCAAATCCGAGCTCCGGCGTGCTCGAGTCCCACGTGTCCCCTTTTCTGCGTTGATGAAAATAAAAAGGAAGAGGAAGAGGAAAATGTTGGCGGCACGCACAAGGGGGCAGGGGGAGGGAGGAAGGCTTCTTAGGAGGAGGCTGCTTCTTCGAACATGCCGGCCCTACATCTTCAGACGAGGCCCGCGCTTTCTGAGTAGCAGGGCACTTCTAAGAAGCCCCCCCCTCCCCCTACCCCCCTTCTGCGCGGGGCTGACAGTTGGCGACGACGCCAACGAGGTAATTAGTACCTGCTCGAACACCGCGTGGCGAGCTTCCCGCTTTGAGCGACTGCTCGCACTTTCGATACCGATGCAATATTGCAGTGCACCATGGAGTCACTTTGAGAGGGCACTTTCGCTCACCGCTTAAGACGAGCACCCCTCTGCGCGTGGCCGAAAGGCGGACGACGACCACCACGACGACGGCGTCGACGACGTCGGCCCCGCCCCCCCCGGAGCTC